TAGTTGGTCATGATGTACGATCTTTTTAATGCTTTGTCTGTCACATTCTGCTTGCCGGTATCTTACTAAGGATTTTTTAAATCTATGGTCACTTTGGAAATTAGCCTATTCTTTTTTGGTTGGATCCTTTTCTGTTTTGGGATCAAGATAATGTTAGTTTCTGAGAATGAATTTGGAAGTACTCCTTTCCAATCTTATTAAAATGTTTGAGGAGCATTGGTGTTAGATCTTTCCTGAAGTTCCTGTAGACTTCGGGAGTGAATCCACTGAAACTGATTTGGTGCATCTGTAATTGTTATCTATTACTGTTAACCAATGTGTAATGTCCTAGTCTCTGATCAGCTTTGGCTTAAAATCTACTATCTTAGTTACTTTCCTCTTGTTGCTGAGACAAAATACCCAACACCTAAAGTTAAAGGGGGAAAAGCTTTATTTGGCTTAGAGTTGGTAGAGGTTTCAGTCCATGAATTGCTAACTCCAAGGCAGGGTGGCAGAGGGGCAACAATTCACAGTAGCAGAAGACAGCAAAAACAACAAAGGAGAACTTAATAGCATCTTTCTGCCCCTTTTATCTTATTCAGATTACTTATGGTGGGTAGCACTCACACCTTTAATCCTAGTGCCCTTGCGCCTAGCACTGTACCATGAATCAATTCCAGCCTCATGCACTCTAGATCCAGCCACCTCTGAAATAGTCCTACCTAAACCCACATGAGGCTTTGCGGGTATAGCTAGGCACAAGCCATATGTACTTTGTCTGAAAATAGGATAGCTATTTCTGCTTTTCTTCAGGCTGTTGTATGGAATACTGTTTTCTGTCCTTTGTTTTCTAGTCTATGAATTTTGCGTTAAATGTTTCTTGTATACATTACATTGGTCTTTGTTTCTTGATCCATTCTGTTAATCTGTCTTTTCACTGGTGAATTGAATTTATAGATAATTTGATACTGACTTATTCCTGTCATTGTATTACTTTCTGGTTGCTGTTTTGCTTTCTTTCCCTTCCAATAAATTCCTAGCCCTATGCAACATATATATTTTAACCTTTTGGCATTGTTAGCTTTAGTATCTCCTAGGATATCCCTGAATATTTTTTGTATGTATTGATTTATTTTTTGAGGCAGGGTCTATGTAGTTCAGGCTGGCCTTGAACTCGTGGCGATCCTTTTGCCTCAGCCTCCCAAGTGCTGGGATTACAGGTATGTGTCACCTCACCTGGCCCAAGTATTTTTTTGAGTATTGCTTTGGTGGTCATGAATCTTTTCAGGTTTTATCTTGGAAGAATCTTATTTCTTCATCAAATTTGAAAGCACATTTTACAGAATACAAGTCTGGGCTAAAATTTGGTGAGACAGGATTTTACCACGTAGTTCAGCCATCCCTCCTGCCTCAGCCTACAGAGGGCTGGGATTATAGGAGTGTGCCACCACACCTGGCTTACACTGGTCACTTCTGCTACCCATATTTTCAATTGTTTTTAATCTCCTGGATTTCTGTTTTGAACTTTCTTATGGACTCCCACTCTTTTCTATGCTGGGCATTCGTGTTTTGCATTTCTTTCTTTAGCTCCATTAGTTATTAGTATCTTCTCTACACTGATAATTTGTTTTATTGTGGTCATTATGTGAAAAGTTGTATCTTCTTTAAATCCACCAAGCACAAAACTATTTTCCTTTCACTGGTATTTTTTTCAGACGTATTTCCTATGTAGTTTATGATTTCTTCTCCCTCAATCCCCCCATGTAGATTTGGGAAAGTTGGAAGTGTTTAGAGGCATTCTGTTGCCATTTAATGCTTTTGGTTGTTTATGTGCTGTCATTTGTAAATTCTTTGGTCCAGTGCCCCATTCTTTGGGAGGGAGGCACAGTATTGTTTATGATCCCCCAGAAATTCCAGTTATTGCCCTAGAGAAAACCAAATGCCAGTCGCTACTGTATTACTTTGTCTATGGTAGTAAATTCAGTGACAACAATAGCATAAAATATCAACTGGATATTGACAAACCCTATAAATCACTCATGTAACAGCCCTTATTCTGAATTTTACTGGATAAATAAGCAACCACCCCATATTGAACTATAATAACTCCGATCATTGATTTCTACCAGATATTGGCAGCAGTGTCAGAGTTCAAAAATAAGACTTAATGTCTTCTTTAGAACCACCCTCTCTGATTATTCCCACTAAATCTGGCTTCCCACAACACAATACAGGTCCTGTGATCTTCTTTGTCTGATCCTGGGCCTCTCAGGGGATCCCAATTTAGCTCTCACCCTCTTCAAGACTATCTCCCAAGGACATCTCACCCGATCAGTATGAAGGGTAAGAATTCAGTCCAGAAGCGAAATTCTCCTCCTGAGTGTTGATCCCTTCTTTAAGTTGGTTGTTAACTCTATTGTCTTGTGCTGTGGAGAATCCAGGGAACAGAGGTGGGGCATGCAGTTCCCAGGTCCTTCTGGCACCGGCACAGGGCCTGGCAGGTGTCAGCATAGGCTACAGGTAGGGTGCACACATTCCAGGATTTCTGCCTGTTCACGGTGTCACTCAACTGTCAGAAGTTACTTATGATTTGTTTTTTAGTGAGCAATACTGGGGATTGAACCCAGTGAGTGCTGAGCTATATCCCCAACCCTTCTTATTTTGAGATAAGACCGCCCAGACTGACCTCAACTTGAGCCATTCCTGCTTCAGCCACTTTAGTTGTTTAGCATGATAGGTGTGCACCACCACATGTGGTCTGTTCTATTTCAGATGGGGCACTTTTCTGTGAAGGGCAACAATGTAAATTATTTTAGGCTGTGCAGACTGTGTTGCAACTACTCAACTCTGCATGAAAGCAGCCAAAGACCCTAACTAAAAGAATGGGTACAGCTGTATTCCAATAACATCATTAACAAAACACGTGGTGGGCTGGATTAGACCTGGGCACTGGTCTGTTTTACTCTCCTTAGAAAAAGTCTCCTCTACTGTGCCTCCAATGATACCTATAAAAAAACACCTGATGCATCTGTCCCTCAGCCTGTATCTCCAATTACTGTCGACATTTAAATGTCTCTTGGCATTGCACAAGTTAAGAAAGGAACTGTGCTCTTGTCCCCTAAATCTAGTGTCCCCTTGGTGTTCTCACTTAATAAGAGGCACTGTTATCCACACAGCTGCATAAGGCAGAAAACAGGAATCATCCTTGACACTCTCCTCTCTCATCATTTGGAAAAGGAGGTCTGAAAATGGCATTATTTGAATCACACAATCAAATTTAACATTTCACTAATAGAGCTAAACTTTATTTCCATGTTTATTACATGTTTGTCTTTGATGTTGAGTACATATTAGGACTAATTTAACATACAGCTCAGTAGAAGATTTGACATTCTCCACTGAATGGGTTAAAAAGGAATGTAAAACTACAAAATACTAATTTAAATGTCAGTTCTAAATTATGGTAAACAGAACAATAAATACCTTGCTATTTTCCTCTAGGTAACCAAGATGAATTTCATTATAAAAATTTTTCATAACAGTTTATTTCAAGAAAGGAAATAAGGGATAATCATAAAACCATTTAAGTACAGGGTACAAATAAATTAAGAATTTTAACACACAACTTCTATCTTCTATTTAAAATTATGATTTTAGAGGGATTAATTAGTGTCAACTATAGATTGAATTACTTAAACCCACCTGCTTTTGTCAGGAAGAGTTAGGCTGACTTAAAGGTGATAAAAATCAGTTCTATTTGGCATTCATGTTTTACCATTTAGTGCTGACAATGGGGATGGCCAAATATTGTGTATTCAGAAATTCAGAATTAATCAATATCAAGTGGCTCAGAACAGAATTAATCATTCTACCTCCTGATCTGTAGTTACATACAAATGTATAGCTTTCACCACTCACTGAAAGTTCCAAAGCAAAATTCCTGTATAGTCTGAGCTGCTAAAATTCACAGAACACTAAGAATACTAATAAATATACTGTAGTATGATTCCAATGTTTAAACAGGAATACAATTATAATGGTTATCAAAGCTGATACTGGTATTATAGTTTCTTTTGGTTCTTTATAAGCCCCTTACTACATTTCAGGAAGTGTCTTTTCACTACTAATCGTTATTTATGCACATTAAAAAAGAACTTAAAATTATTTTCTATGATGGATTATAGAATGAAGACTCTTAGAGTTTCTAAGTGTTTAGATAAATCTGCAAAAACCTATATTCTTTCTAATGCCACTATGACAATGATGAACTCATCTATCTCTACATTATCCATTATCCCAGAGATAAAACATTTTATGTAACTGTTCAAGAGAGATGATTTATGGCTTTTCAATTTTGAAAATTTCATATTTAGTGTCACATTAAGCTTTTCTAAACCAGTCTTCTACTATTAGCTATTCATTTAGCTTCTTAAAAAAGGACAAAAGATAATGCCACATCACATATTCAGCTTCCTCCCTTCTTGGAAAACTAACATTTCTCTTAATGGCACACTCCTTTCCTTAAGAGTACAGGGCCAGTTCTCTTGTGTAATTTTGTGTAAAAGGATGTATCATAAACATTTCAGATTTTCTGTGTCATGTGGTCTCTGTTGCAACTTCTGTTGTATGAGAAAGCAGCCACAGTCAGTATGTATGTACAAGAAAAAGGAGCAGCCCACCAGTTTAGGCCTGTGGGGCAGCACGGGTCCCTACCGAAGAACAGATAAATATATGAGAGCAGTTTGGAAGAAACTGGTCTCTACTCAGAATTTAGCAGTTAATTACTTTAACACCCTGAGGTTGAACACTTTGAATTCAGTTATCTTCATTTAGTTAAGATTCTTCCACTAAAACTCAGTACATCATCATGCCTTTTATCAGGAATAATTTATCCTCATTTAAGAACTTGCTTAAGTATTGTTATTGAGAAATTCAATTTTAAAATTAATAAAGGATATCCATACAATTTAAAATCCAATTTAATTTTTTAAAAACTTAATGAAAAATATAACAAAATCAAAACATTTAAAGTAAGTACACTCACTACCCACTCTAGTTAATTCATTTAAGTCATACCAACTATAGAATATGAAAAATAAATTCAGAAGTATAATTACTTTAAAATACACTACTTCCACTTTTGTCAGTATTTTACATTTTTGTATATATTCTGTAGTGGAAGCAGAATTTCTCTCTAAAAACATTATCTCCTTAAAATCTTGAGGTGCATATTAGAGCCACAGGCGATATCTGACATATAAAACTGTAGTACAGGCCTTTCAAATTTGGCATTTCACTGGTACAATACAATGACCAAAGTATGTAACTGTACAGTGTCTAGACATCCTAGTAAGAACCATTATTTTCTCAGATGTAGAATGATCAATACATATTCTACAAGGGGCAGTGAGATTAGTAATTCTACAGGGTATGTCTTGACATAATTTCAATTGTATAATAACACAAACAACTTTGTTAAGGCCATGTTTTATTTGCTGATTAATGGACAAAAGGCAATGTAATTTATTTTCAAGTATTTTCTTGAAAGTCTGTGCTCATAAAAATCATGAAAAGTTGGAAAGACTGTTAAATCACTGAAACTTTAAATATATCTTACACAATCTTGTTTGTACAAAAATACAAGTTAAATATAAACATAAAGCAATCATGATAATTTTATGCAAATCTGTTTTATGTGATCTTTAGTTATATATAAAAGTTTCTTGGTTCTGTTATTTGTGAAAAGATCAATACCAGATTGAGTTACTATCTATTGGCAAAGGGCCCTAAAAAGCCTACTTTAGCATTAATCTTTCACAACGGTTATGTGTTGCCTAATTTGAGATCACCAAAACACTGGAAACAAAAGAAAAAAAGGGCAGTTATGTCCATAAACCAACAAATAATTTGGCTGTAATGTATCATAAAACACAAAGAAAGCCCACACAGCTGTACAATAAACATTATGTACTACACACTCTCACACGGGTGCACATGCGCACATGCACCCACTCACAGGACAAGGCCTAATGAGGCGCTGCTTCCAGTTCTATATTCAGCTGTGCATTCTTTCTTACTTCATCAAACGAATAACTTTTGGTCACCTTTCCATTCCTGAAGACAGTATGCAGAAGATCCTGCAGGAATGTAAATTTAATGACTATAGTAAAAAAACCATCAAACTGAGTATGTGTATCATGCTCTGATGAATGTACCTAACTAGTCAAATACAGAGATGCTGATGGTGTTCAACTTAACAATTCTATTATTGAAGTATTACATTTTAAGCCAACTTTCTTAAAAAAATGAACCTAGTTGAGCAATCAATTTTTTTTTTGACCTAGAAGCTTTGTTGCCTAGGAGAATTGTGATCGTCACTGATAAAACACTGACAGTGCAACAAGGCAAACCCCGTCAATGCCAACCTTCCCTTGTCCCTGCCCAACAGACTCAAAACCGATTAAACTTCTCAATTCACAAGTTTAGTGATTTCCACTGCGAAGAGACTGAGTTAAGGATTCTTTCCTTTGAAGTCACTGGTAATCCACTCCATCCAGATAAGAGTAATCAGACAGAGAATAAGGATTAAATTCATTTTGGACCTGGTAAAGCAACTCTTCTCTAAGAAGTTAGCTGCCTCTAGTTTCTCTTTAAAATATTCTACAGAAGTAATTTCAATGTTCCATCTAGTCTGAAGGTCCGTACAACATTATCTAGTTATCTGTCAGTGTGTTGCTTTAAATTACATTGCTCTTGTTGTAGCATTTTTTTTTAATAAGTTTAAATGTAACCTATCAGGGAATGCTGGTTCTTATTCTTTAAGCAGAATGCCTACAAAGACTGCTACCTCAGCTGTTCCAGTGTGTCAATTCACACTCATGTTTTTACTTTTACTGAGTCCAAGTGACTTTAGCACATCTGAGAATCTAATTCAGCAAAATTTTGGTAGCTGCCGCAGTTAAACAAAATCTACTCCAAAAAATTGCACAATAGGCTATATAAAGGGATCTATTTCTAAAAGTTTGACTTACAAATTCATTTTCATTAAAGATAAAAAGCTACTTCATTAATTTTGGCTCAAAATCTTAAAAATGTACTAAACACAACCTGTTGTAAGCAGTAAGTCTGGCATAATGTAAAGAATCCTAACAGTAAGATATTCATGTATTTGTCTATTATTAACTTTTCTAAGAATATATTTATGAGTAGTTTCCCTGTAAAATTGAATTTTCTAATCACATGACTTACAAACCAGAAAGACTGTAACTTCTGAACACACAAAGAGAAACTAAAATATCAGATCATGTGTGAACCACCTTAGCATTCTATACATTTTCTCCATTTGGTTCATTTGAATGTAAAAACCTGAAAACAGTTTTAGAAATTGCATAGCCCCGCCGTTGTCTATTAAAATTACCAATGTCTTACTATAATACAAATAGCCGTGAGAATGCTAAGAACCATATATCTCAATTAATCTTACCTATGCCTTGTCAAAGTGATTCATTGCTAAGTGCAGTCAGATTAAGACCAAATACAAGCTTTTGTATCACTACCACGCTGGTCACTATGTGAAAAAATGAAATTACTTCAATGTCATAAAACTGTTCTGAAAACAATTTAAAAATACAATATAAAAAGCCTCATTATTAATTTGGAGAGCCAATCAACTACCACAAAAACAAATCAGTACAGGCCAGGAATCTAGCTCAGCGGTTCTGGTGCGTGCTTTGCAAGCGCAAGGACCCGAGTTCAATCCCAGGTACCAAAAAAAAAAAAAAGAAACAAAAACAAATCAGTACAGACACATACCTGACCGTATTCCTCAAGGTCTCCTTTTCCTTCCTCAAGTGTAACAAAATTCCCTGCTGGTGTCCTATGTAATGATAACCGGCCCTTTTTGGATCTTTTGTTGGGATCAGCAACTGGGTCCTTGAAGACATTAATCTGAAATCCAGATTAAAAAAGAGAGAAAGAATATTAATCAAGAAATGTTTACCACTCACTTGCAAATAACGCATGTATTTATGTATATTTACATATACATACACATACATATATAAAAAAACCTTGTACATGACTTTTTTTGGTACAAGGGATCGAACTCAGGACCTTGAGCCTGCAAGACAGGCACAGCACCACTGAGCTAAACCCCTGCCCCTGTTGTAACTTTTAAGGTACTTTATGGGTACAAGGAAACAAACCCATGCCTGGCTTTCAGAAACCTAACTCTTTAGCCTGTTTTGAAAAACAGTCAGCTATTATGAAAAAAGATTTGCAAAAAGCCCAAATACCTAGTGTCTTACCACAAAAAAGAATACCTAATAGTCCACTTGTAAGACATCTTTGAAAATTTTAACAGTGACCTTTATTGTACAAAATGTCTTTAAATGGATGCTAAGTATAGTATGCATGCTATTGCAAAACAACAAAGGCTGGAAGGATATTACTACAGTAGAGGCTTTCCCATCTCATAACCTTTCTGTGCTTCCAAGTCAAGATTATGAGAACGTGAAAACATATTAATATACATACTAATACGCCCTTAGTCAGTGTACTCTACCTAGATACACAAAGAAGGTGCTAAAATAGGAGCAAAAGTTGAAGGACAAACCCCAAGGCCATTGGTGACAACATAGCTACACTTGAAGGAACAATTCAGGAGATCTCTGGTTAACTTCTGCAGCAAAGCTCCACCAGAACCAAAGGCAACATTTTCAATGCTCCACTTTTTTTGTTTCATGCCTTCTACAATCTAGAAGATTAAACAGATAAGTAAAACCTAAGTAATTTGGAAGAGGACAGAGGTTAATTTCAAAGGAAAACATTAACAAATAAAGCATCCTAGAGCTGTTTTGTTAACACTCAATAAAGAGATGTGGAAGGCTGACAGAGTTATATTTCACATATTCTTTCTAAATACCCACTTGCCCCAAAAAGGGCATCCTGAGATCGATATGCATGGAAGGGGATTTCATTCATAGTTCTGAATTTGTGTTGTTGTCATTATGGTTGGGTTTGGAGAATGAGGAACTTGCCTATAAATATCTAAGGTAACTTGAGTCAACTTCTCTCACCTACCCCCTTAAGTTATTGCCTAGATGCCAGCAACAAATGCATTGGGACCAATCACTAGACTCTAGGAATGACTCCACTCATGAATACATCACAATACAGCTCATACCACATTACAGGTCATACAGCAAACTATTGGGAATGGACATGTGGGTCAATGATTATTAGTGACAAAAGAAAATACAATTCTCTTTCCTACATAAACAGTTGTGATACTGGCAGTCATTTTACTCTGGCTGGTGCTCTAGTGCCATAAACAAGATTATGGGCAGATGCTCTAGGAGATTTATCATTGGATATTTTTGGAAGAATGATTATCTAACCAGCTACAGAGATCTGTATGACACATGGGTCTGGTGTGTAATATAATTCTTTCAAGGGACATACCTGCACTGAGCAATTAAACTTCATTTAAAATTTCAACTGTCTAATTCTTCTGCTTTTTAGTAGCAGAATTTATCTTTTTTTAAAAGTAGAATAATCAGTATGGAAACACATGCAATTTATTTTAAAGCAATTCCTAAAGTTTGGATTGTACACAAATTTCAAATCTTACTACATGCCTGATTGAACCCAAAGCCCCTGAATAGAGATTTTTTTTTTTTTTGCTGAGAAGACTAAACAAAATGAATTTTAATATGGAAAAAATGCAAAGAATACAGCAGAAAAAGGGAGGAAAAGAAAGGGAAATAGAGACTAAAATGGTTTGAGTAAACACTAGAGAAAATAGCTTCAGACCTGTCACTTGGCTTTTGACATGCTTCAGAAGCACCCTAATGAGGGAATGACAACAGTATCACCTAATATGTCACTGTATTTCCGGCCAAGTTTCTTCGCCAAAAGTTATAAAAGACAGTTTGGAGCTAAAGCGAGCTGTTCTGTTACTGGGAAATTCTAACTAGGGAAAAATTATTATTTAACAACACTTACACATACAAACAGAAGGGAATCTGATAAGACATGAACTGACAAAATAGCACTCTCAGGTACTATTCTTGTGAGTATTTTCATATTGTATATTCAAAATATGAGTCCTATTATGCCACTGGGACTTAATTTTTCTTTTAACAACCATTTATTTGAATTGTGTTACAATGTGAAAGTGCTTTTGCAGTATATTTATGGACATGTCAAAAAGTAAAAAATATTTCAATATACATGATAATGTTTCATTTATACTGCTAGTCCTCTTAGTTCATCAAAAAGAAAGTTTTGTGCTATTACCTATTTGTTTCTTTTTTGTAAGCGTCTTTTCTGTCTATGACTTGTACTCTAACATTCTGGCCATTCTTTTAAGATTATAGTACACAGTGTATTAACTAATGTTATTCTTTAATTTGTTTTGAAATTGTGCTTTATTTTTTCATAAAACTTAAAATATTTTCTTTACTTGTATTACATTAAAATACCATTTTTAAGTACAAATAAAATTTGCTTTTTGCTTCTGTACTTCAAAAGAAACCATCAGCAGAACTAAGAGACAATCTACAATGTGGGAAAAAATTTTTACCAGCTGTTCCTCAGACAAAGGACTATTATCAAGGATATATAAAGAACTCAAAACAATCAGCACCCCCAAATATAAGGACCCGATTCAAAAATGGGCATCCAAAATGAACAGACATTTCTCAGACAAAGAAGTAAAAGCAGCAAGAAAATATTTGAAAAAATGTTCCACATCACTGGTCATTCGAGAGATGCAGATGAAAACAACACTGAGATTCCACCTTACCCCACAAAGAATGGCTGCTATCAAGAAATCACACAATAACAAATGTTGGCGGGGTTGTGGGGAGAAAGGAACTCTTCTCCATTGTTGGTGGGACTGCAGACTAGTGCAACCACTATGGAAATCAATATGGAAATACCTCAAAGAGCTTGGACTGGAGGTTCCATTTGACCCAGCCATCCCTCTGCTGGGTATCTTTCCAAGAGAACTAAAAGAATCATATCACAGAGAAGTATGTGCACCCATGTTTATAGTGGCACAGTTTGTAATAGCTAAATCTTGGAAACAGCCTATTTGCCCATGCATTGGAAACTGGATAAAGAACTTGTGGTTTTTCTATAAAATGGAATATTACTCAGCCATAAAGAGCGAGAGAATAGATTCATTCATAGGAAAATGGATACATATTGAAGATATACTCCTAAGTGAAATAAATGAGTCACACATGTGTTAATACCGAATAGTTTCCCTGGTGTAAATAATCTGCAACAATGCATAAGATTCTAATAAGATTACTGACATTTAGAAATGGGAAGAAAGGAGCTAAAGGTGTAGGGAAGGTGGGATGGGTAGGGGAAGAGTAAAAAGGGAAAAGTAAAAAATGTGAGAGAATGAAAAGATGAAAACAAAGTGTTTGTAGATGGGGAGGGGAGGAGGGGGTGAAGGGAGGGCAGAGGTAAGGGGAAAAAATGAGAATCAAGACCTGTCATGTAGAGGTACAAGATCCCAACAATGAATGTAACTGTACTGTATCCCTAAAATGTACCAATAAACTCAATTAAAGCTGAAAAAAAAATTTGCTTTTTGAAAATAAAAGTAATTTGCTCTTAAGATAAATATAAAACCAATCAATGTTTTGTACTAACTCTCTGTACTTAGTAGACTTAGGGGAAATTTGCAAGAAATGTAGAAAAAAGTTTCCAGGAAAATAATGTAGGGAAGCTAGAAGAAAAAAAAAGTTGACCTATACATAAAATAGTAAGATATAATTAAGCCTAGGAAGAAAATGTTTAAAATATGTTGGAACTCAAAGAAATCTTCTTGGTAACTCAATTCAATACTATTTTAGTATCATTAATGAACCATTCCGATGGAGATGTTCCAGGGACACCCATGGAGACTGAACTCCATCAGAAACAGAAAGAGAAGACAGACACTTTGCATTTTGTCTAATATAAAGAGGATTCCTGCCTCCTTTCATAAATGAACAGATTCATTTTGGTACACACCGGAACAAAGAAACTGAGAATGGGGTTCCACTGTATACCTCAAGGGATGTCACAGGGAGATTGTGATGAGTAGAGTCTAAGAGTGAGGCTGACAGTCAGAGAGGGCAGTTGTTTCAAATAAAACAGATTTTTCATTTTGTCAAAATCAAGGCAACTACCATACACATGTACAAAGCAAAACTGCTAATGAATTCTTCTGCTTCTACAGATACATACTGACTTACTTCCAATATGAAGAAATAGAGTACTAGGTGGTAAGTTAAATCAATGGGCCCAACTTCTTCGAGACATTCTTCAGATATTCCAAGAATGCCTTTGCATGAACACAAAACTATTCAATTCTGACTCTTCTAGTTAAGGGTACATCAATGCCAAAGAGCATGAGTCTCAGTATGTATTCACTTGTTTATGTGGTTAAAAAATAAGTCAAAGTTTTAAGCTGATTCTCAAGTTAAAAATGTGCATATACTCTCAAAATTTACTTTAAAAGCAAGGGAGGAAAAAAAAAAAGAGAAGGGAAAGCCACGGATTTTTGGTTTTTAGAGGCTCAAGTAACTGACTGCCCAACTCAAGGAAGGGGGGCCCAGCAGTGGGAATGGGGAAGCAGGTGTGAGTCCCTGCCAGGGTGTCTCAAATGCAGGTATGGGTAATGGTTCTCTAATGGTACCAAGGAAAGTAACTGTCAGTTCAGCTGTGTGAAGAGGGCAACAGCAATGAAATGTGCTGGCTGACATTTCTTTCCTCAAGATCCTTCATCTTTAGGGCATGGTGGTGCATGACTATAATCCCAGCTCTCTGGCAGGCTGAGACAGGGGGCTTACAAGTTCAGGCCCAGGCTGGGCAACTTAGTAAGACCCCATCTCAAACTAAAAAATAAAAAAAGTGCCGGAGATGTAACTCAGTGCAAAGGTCCTGGGCTCAATCTCCAGTACTACCAAAAAAGAAAATAAAAGGAAAAAAGGGTCTCCAACTCTTCACCACAGTCTTCCATTTCTTCTTCCTTTTTCATATGAAAGCTCCTAATGTCCCAAAACCTAAGGTCTGGGAGCCTGGGAGAGTTTTCTGAAGAAATCTCATTTTTGCTATCGCAATGAGATCAATTCCAGAATTACACATCACCACAGAGTGTATTATATATCATAGCTTTCATTTTCAAATTGACCTCTAGAAAATTTGTAATTTGTGTGCTGATTTTAATCACACTAATCTCTTTCAAACAGAAATTCTCTAATAAACTTTTATGGAGCTTTTTATCACATGGTCTGGTATACATCAAAATGCCAGAGGTTTATGATAGCACAGCATCCACACTGTTAGTGATATTTTTAATTTTCATGGAGTGTTTAAAGTATTAGTTAGAAAGAAATTATAGCTCTTAAAAAGCGTATTTGCAAAACAAAACAGGCAAAAGTTAAAAGACACTATAATACACTATTTGGCTAAATCTAACAATATTAGTGACGACAGTAAGCTATGTTGTAAGCTTAATTTAGAAGAGGTGACAAACCATTTTATAATTTCTGAAAAAGCACCCATTAATAGCAACAAAATTTTAATTCAGAGCTATGTTAGCAGTCAGAACATCTTGTTTTATATTATATTACAGGAATATTCCTTGAGTGATACTATGTTTCTTAATGAGACATCTTTAGAATCATTATCCAAGGTGTTCAGTGAGAAGCAAGTACACTTTGGCTAAAGCTACTATTATTTCTAAAAGGTAAGTGATGCACAAAAGAAATGCACCACCACAGATATTTAAAATACGTACTACAACTGTATTTAGATTATTGATGTGTTGTTTATCAAATTAATAAAAAACAGCTTAATTATAAGGAATTTCTTTTCTGAAACTTTTAATAAAACACATACCTCTTGTAGGGTATTAATATCTACTCCATCCCCTTGAATAACTCTAAGATAAGGTGGCAGCAACTTGTAGCCTTTTGAGTTCTCAGTAACAGGAAATTTCTTACCTAAAATATCTAAAACCTGCATGAAAAAAACACACAAGCAACACAAATAACTGAAACTGAAAAAAATGTTAAAGCTTTTCAAAATTAAAAAAGTTTTGCTTTGTTAGACAATCATGTAAATATAAAATTAAATTGTTTACTTTAAAAACTACATAGTACTACATATAAAGCTATGCAAAAGTTAGTCTTAAATCATTTTAATCACATCAGAGACAGACATGCTATTTATACTAAGTCAATCTATATTATAAAATGACTTAAAACGAGTTTTTTCTTTGCATATTTGAAATTACAGATTAAAATAATCCTTAATGTTACATTAGAACAGTATTTAAAGAAATATTGTGAAGTACAATTTAAAGTCATGATTACACTTTTGACTTAGATTTATTCTGCTTGTGCCAGACTTAAAAATACAAATTCCAATATAAATCCATTTAAATCAAAACTTCAGGGAAACTGACAAAGCTAGGAATAAAATACACACAATCTCACACACACACACGCGCGCGTGCGCATGCACACATGTATGTCACATAGTTGCTCATGTATTCCTTTCTTCTGTTACAGTCAAAATGTATAATACATGGAATAAGTCTGCTCATTCATTTACTGATAAAAATTTTGTAGCAACTGAAATACTTAAAACACAAATTTAAAATTTTACGGAAAAGTCAGATACAAAAGGCCTACAAAAAGACATATCCCTTCCTCAATAATCATTTCCTTTTCCTAAATAAAGTGATTAAAAAATGACAACAATGAGAAAATTCCAGAAGTGATTCAGTTTGTTCTTGTAACTAGTAGCCCACATTTTTTTAGATAATAAAAATGTCAAACTTCTTTAGTTTGTTAAAACCAACAATTTCAGGGTATGACAAGACCTTCAAATAAATGAGCCTATTCTCTGATATTAGAGGGTCTTTGTACCTTTGTCCCATTCCTTCTTAAAGGGTAATTTTATTTTACTTTAAAATTTTTTTGGTACTGGGGATCGAACTTGGGTCCTTGTGCTTGCAAGGCAGGCAGTAGAACCACTGAGCTAAATCCCTGGCCCACTGAAGGGTAATTTTAGCTGAGAAACAGTATAGTAAAGTACAATGACTGCCATCAAAAGACCTACACTGGATACTTGGGCTCCTTATTTCACTTGTGTGAACTTGAGCAATTCAATAACTTCTCTAAGCCTGTTTCTTTTACAACAATTTTATATTTGCCACAGTTTTTTTTTTAATGAGATCAGATGATACATCTAAATGGAAAGCACTTCACACAGTATTTCTGTAGTAAATATCAATTAATCCTCTGATCAGTGCTTTTTGAAAAAGGCAAATCAAGTCCAGAACACAAAAAAGTACAACACCGATTGCTATATTAACAGTCAACAGTACCTCTAAAAAACCACTACTTTAAAAGTATTTTTAAAATTACTGATTTCATATAACTTGAATGTTTTTCCTGTATTAACAACTTCCAAGGTATAACAATGAGTTGTGATTAGAGATAAACCACAATAAAGTTGGGATTAATTAAAATGGTAATACTACTGATTTTGAAGGTATGGGAGAAAGAAAATATCCATTCAGTAGTACCTAATTATCTGTTTGACAAGTTTATAAGTAGCTCATAAGTCTTTGCATCCTTTGTCTGCTATCATGTATGACCTTGGGCAAATTATTAAAAATAAACTGGTCTAGAAAGCTGTAACATAGTGTACATATAAACGAAATTAAGACTAGTGTTATTATAGTTGATCTACAGGTATTTTAATAATCAAGTTATACAGTAAAATTTACCTTTAAAACAGTATCAAGAGGATTTCCAGAATCAGGTCTGATTATTAGTGGTGCCTCTGTACTTCTTGACAATATTAAATGTCTTAAATCTTCACCCCATATTTTCTCACATGCATTATAAATGTCATAGCTATCGCTGACCACAGATACAGGCACTGATGAAAACTGTGTTACTATATGTTCAAAAGCATCTTTTTCATGGTCTTTCCCCCAAGCTGTTATCGTACTAGAAAACAAAATAAAAATACACATTTACTTAGGCAGACATATAATCTATTCCTAAAGCACCATTAACCATATACTACGTTTGCTATGCTATAGCAACATCACAGAGGTGGTGAGTGATTTAATTTAATGGATGCACATCAAAGGGGATGGATTATTTAGGCCAAATCAGCACTTGACTGTCTTTTTAAAACACTATCTTATTATGCTTCAGTTGTTCTAAATGCCTTTCACACTTTATGCCAGGATGTTAGAAAGAATACATACTCTCATTACTTTGTTAGGCATCGCAAGCAATTGGCTCCCTTCTGTGAATGTTTGAAACTGCGTACCAGCAAATTCTACGGACATAATTTTGTCTTTTTTATCTTATAAAATCTTACTTTAAAGGAAATTACTTAAACAACTGTTTATTCCACTTGTGTATATTCAACCAACTCTTTGCCTGTTATACCTTCAAATGGTCAGCAATAAGCAGTTATTTATTTTATTCATAAAATACTATTTATACACGCCCAAGGAACAGGAATTTTAATGTTTAGTTTGAGAAAACATAATTAAGATGGGGACAGAGTATGACAGCTTATAAATTTAGAGGCAAGAAATATTAGGTAAGAATGGCTGTGATTTTTCCAAAGTCCTCAATAATGGTTTCTCTTATTGAATAGTTTAGTATCTAATGTGTAATTTTAAGTATTTGTTGTTTAATTAATATGCAGTTTAATTAGTCTTACAAAATTTAATAAATTGAAAATTATAATTTCTTATGCCAATCCACTTTTCTTCCCTGCTAATTTTATAGATTTTGCTTTTACCCTGTTCTCAGTGAAATAATGAATGGATAGCCCATTCATTATAAAGCCCATGTAAGTATTAAGTTTAATCCAAAACTATCTGAAAAGTTATACTAACAAGTTGGAATTTGCCATTTCATACAATTCTTTTTTTCCTGAAGGATGGGAGTAAACTCATTTTCTCATATGGTGGAAGACAGCAGGTGAGCAGGTACACTTCAGGACTCTGAACACCTCCTGACCCAGACACTGCCCTTGTCTGAAACCCAGAGAGGTTCTATTCATACCAAACTCATTTGATAGTGAACACTCTTGGTCGACACTATAAAGGCTCCCAATGGCTAAGATGCCAGTTTTTGGCTTCACGTAAGAACCTGCAGGCCAAAGGGAAACGTAAGACATATATATATATATATATATTTATTTATATTTATATATATATATAAATATAAAAAGAGAAGCTCCCTTCTTCAAAATCAGTTGCTACTGTCCTCTTCAGAAGGAAGAGAATTAAGCTCAATGACTATCAAAACTAGAGAGTTTTATAAACATTAAGAATAAACTATTACATTCAAATCACTGTTTATGCAGCTATCGCTTTACTGAAGTTTTATCAATACAGCTGTCAAAGTTTAGCTCTCATTTTCCTTGCTTTCCCCATGGTATGTGAACTTTCTGGAAGCTTTCTTTTTCTAAAGCAGTGCCATCTTCCACATTTCAGTCCCCTTTCTACTTGTAGGTTCCTCTGCCAACTTCCCCAGACGCTGTGCTCTTCATCCATCTAACCTGTGAAATGTTAGTATCACTCGCTGCTCTCACCTAGGCAATTGTCGCCCTCTGTAATCCCTTCCTGTGTGAAAGACCTGAAGTGTGCAAAATTACCTCAAGTGGTGAGGGTTTTCAGTATTTGTATGTTGGCTCATGTTTCTCTTCTGGGCTCCCAACGACTTTGTTAGGGAGGAGGCCACAGACATGTCCCATGTCCTCCTTCTGCACAATCCTATAACACTTACTCTTAAAGTATGGATATCATAAATTTTATTAAATCCAACCCATGCTATTCCTCTAATTTCAAGAATCAAATTAAACGAGTTTTACCTCCTCTTTTTGTTTGGCTGGATGGAGCAAATGAGGAACAGATAGATAAGGGACTTGCCCAAGGCCACCCATGATGTCAGGTGTAAGGTCACTCATACTTTTCAACTTTCAGTACAGTTCCCTTTTTCACTCTACTGTTGTTTAAAAATATTTCTATAAGAATATAGAGCATTCTTCTATATTAATAATTCAAATAAATAGGATAAGACTATAAAAAGAAAATGAGTTTTTCACCCTGTGCTACATAGTGTCTTTTCATTTTAACACTAAAGTCCTAAAGATGATATTATCTTTATTCTCGGGTTTAAGGTATGATATTATGGCTTGGAAACAAAATCGTAAGGAAAAGAGCCTAGTGTATGATTAACATATTAAATTCTTAAAAGATGTATATACTTAAGTCAAAAATAAAAATTACCCCAAAGCTTATGTGCTAACAATGCCCTTAATTTTTTCTGTTCATTAGTCTTAAACCTTGTATGTAACAACCCTATCAATACAGCAATGCTTATAAATGTTGGCGCAATCTACTCTCCAGCAACTCCAACTGTGATCACATTTTTAGGAATTTTATCTCCTAAGCCACTGCTCATATTTATATACTCCTTTCCATTCATTTAGACACTTGGTTCTGGATCTCATCACCTCAAAATTGCTATAAGTTAAGGCCTAGCTTCTATTTTTCCTTTTTTTAGTTCACTGGCTATCCTGCCATCAAAATATTCTCTTAAAATATGTCTCTGGAAACATAACCTTTCCTCTCAAAAACTTCAGGGCTTGCACTCATTTGAAAATGCCTAATTAAGAATAAGTTAGTATGATGTACACACAGTTTAACAGTCAATGTTAAAACAAGTCTGGAGGCTCTTACTAACAATATTCTACATTCCCTACAAAATCCTTTTCCACTCTTATTCCTGGAACACATTACCACACTTCCCTGTTCATCACAATGTTTATTCGACACACAGAAATATGCAAACAATATTATTCAGAGAACGCATGACCACCCAGTATCTGCTTTAAGCTGTGTCATTCCTTCAAGAAGTCAAGATTTCACATGCTATCTCTATTAAACCTTTCCTCATCCTGCCAGTGCAGTAGGATCCTTCTCTTCTAGGCTTGTACCATGGTACCTTAATTGTACCTCTTTAGTAATTTAACCAGTAAAGTGGACTGTTACTAGTGCTCTGTTTTTATCTTAAGGAGAGGGTCAGTTTTTAACATGTTTCTGTAAAGCACCCAACAGACTGCCTTGCACAGGAAGGCTGGCCAATCATTAATAACAACAAATAATAACAAATCTCAGCTCTATTCTCAACTCACTGCTAGTTTTAGCACCTTACAATTTTCAACGAGTAGAACTTAATTAACATTCCTGAATGGTTATGGTAAATATTAATGCTTAAGAACAAGAAATGATTTGACATGTATTTTAAAAGTTGCATTTACTTTCAATAAAGTGGACTCTAGGACTGGAACAGCTGCAACCTAAGTTATAATTTCCTTCTACTTTAGTAAGAGCAAATAAGGAAACAGTTTGAACACTCTTCATCAAAAAGGCTTACCTGCTCATTTATAACTAGAGGTACTGAGGGCTAGATGACAATTTCCAAGCAGGCAGGGAAGGTCAAGTAAAAAGCAAGGCAAAGAGGACTGGGGATTTTGCTCAGTGGTGCTGCTGCCTGCCTTGCAAGAGCAAGGTCCTGAGTTTGATCCCCAGTACCAAACAAACAAACAAAAAGCAGGGCAAGGGAAAAAAGCAACCAATACTTACAGTGCTTTCAAATTTAATTTAATGAAGCAGATTTATCAGTTTATAGCAATATAGTAAATAAAACACTTTTTTAAAATAAAGACCTGAAATTGCCCCATTAGGGAGTTAAAAGTTCTAAACCTCCTGAAACTACTCTTTATACAAAATACAAATACAGTATTGAATTTATATTATTTCTGAACATTTATCACAGCACCTGGCTCTGTAGCTCAGCAAACATCACTGAGTTAAAATACCAAAGTGAAAAGAATTAGTTTTAGAAAACAAATGTTTAACAAAATGATAAAAACAAATACCATTTTACCTGTGTTCTGCTGCTGGAACAGAATAGCCTGGAACAGGATCTTTTGTGCCATAGTATTTTTTAATTAGAGCAATTCCCGCTACTGTATCTGTTCCTTTGAAGTTAACCAAATGAGCAGATGCCCCTATGCCAGCAGTCTGGAAAATCAACATAAACCAAAATTCAAAAATGAAAATGAAAAATCCATATTTAAGGTATTTAGCATAGCCCAAAGGACTCTTTAGCCAGCGATGGTGAACCTTTACAGCTTTCAGTAACAAACAGCCTGCTGCAGTGCACGTGTCATAGGTTCGTCTTTAGTATTCAGAGATATTCATATATTTTCAGAGACAACAGTTCCTATGACAAAGACTTTTCCTAAATAAGGATTCCGCTGTTATCTCTTCCGAGACCCATTTAACAATACAGTGACTCTTCCCCAGTTTCCACTCTCTCACCTCGTCTTCCCTTCTCTGTAGCATTATTTATTATGTCCATTATTCTATCTCCGTCTATCCCTCCACGTGGTATCTAAAGTACTGGGACATATGCTGAAGGATATATCCCATGAACTTGAACAGAGGCTGATATATATATAGTAGGTACTTAGTATGTATCTATTGACTAAATCTCTGGAATTTCAAAAGGCGGCATACATAGAACCATGATCAATCCCAACAATATACCGAAAAATTTAGAGCACTAACTCTCGTGATCCACATTTGATTAATAAACAAGATTCATTTCAGTGTCTTACCTCTTGGGAAGAAACTCCTCTGTAGCCAAAATCATGTAACTTGTATTCCAGACCATCTAAGTTACCAGAAGTTTCTAACAAATATCTGGCCAATATTTTCTTCTGCTCTCTAGAGTTTGTGGCCACAGTGATCGGATACCAGGATTGAACAAGAATAGTCTGTAGTAACAAAATCAACCACAAAAATTAACGCATAAAATACAAGGCTCTTTCTGAGGAAAATCCTAGCTTTCCCTGGAAGGATGTCCTGCACTTCCACACTATCAAAAATATCAATTGGAAATTTCAACTGAATGGCAGGATGTGTAACTTATACATTTTAGATACAATACATAGCTTAGCTCTCAAATCAGCAACAAAGGTGACACGCCAAACCACTGTTAGTGAAGAACTTCAAATCACCACATTTCCATCTAAATCTTCCAAAAGGAAAATAATATTTTGAAAGAATTAGTGAAGGAACAATTTTTAAAAGAATTTTCAATTTGCCATAGACTGATAATTTTATAAAGTTCAATCACTCATGGATATGAAGGCAATGTTGAATTGCCAAAATAAAAAAAATTGATTTCTTCCCTGAATATGGACCTGAACCAAACAGGTGGTTTATGGGCCACATCTTGAACAGTACTGGTTTAAAGAAGTTCCTCATATTTCCATCTCCAGGTAGTTTTGGATCTAGTATGACTACTAGTAAATCACATACTTGAGATACTTCATTCTTAGCATGACAAAATTCTATTCAACAAATTGTGCTTTATCCTTTTTTTTTTTTCTTTTTCTTTTTCTTTTTGTGGTAGTAGGGCTAGAACTCAGGTCCTTGTGCTTGCAAGGCAGGCAGTGGAACCACTGAGCCAAATCCTCAGCCCTACTTTATCCTTGTTTTTAAATGAAGTTTTATTACAAGAAAGCCGCATGAAACACTTCTGCATGTCAAACAACTACAGGGTCACTCCATTTTGTAATGCCAGTGGTTACACGTTCTCAAATGAGGAAATGGAAGAAATGCTAGGTTCATATCTTCCCCACTCCTACTTCATTTACTTGATTTTTCTTTTTTTCTTGGCTTCTGGAAGCCAATGAAAGTCTAATGCTCAATCATAGCAGTCATATTAATTGCTCTGGCTTGGGAATTTACCTCTCCACTCCAGGACCATTATTTTATAAACATTATGTTATCAGAAGCAGCTTAAAAGCTATTTTAGAAAGAGCTGTTAAATGATAACAATGTCTGAGCTAAAACAAAAGGATAACTTCATAGTTAAATTTCACAAAACAAGCTTTTACTAAATACCAGAAGTGACCGGTAAATAAAGCAAGCAAAAACAAATAAAGAGATTATTTTAGTTTAGGTTTGCCTAAGGTTAAATCTGGTCATCTAAAAAGAAAAATATTGTAACATTTGATTCTGTGACTGGCTAAATACAGCCCCTGCAGCTCCTGTCAAGGGCTGGAGTCTACTTCTTCACCCTTGATTCAGGGCTATCTTTATAATTTGTTTTTGACCGAAATGATGTGGCTGAAGTCATGCTGTGTGACTTCAAAGCCCCAGTTTCTAGAGGGTTTGAACTAATGTGCTGAGAAGCAGGCTTGGCTAATTAGTGGGCCAGTGGTCCCTGCTGTCTGAGCTAACCTTTTGAGTGAACCTTTTAGGCTGTCCAACCCTAGCCAACCCCTCAACCAAATGGGATGGAGAAGTCCAAGCATGACCAGTAGGCAACAGACTCCTGGGAAACAACAGTTGTGTTAAGCTACTAAATTTGGGGATAGTTTGTTACACAAAGCTGATGCAACTCCTAACTCAGGCTTTACAACCAGTCACTTCCACTCTGAGCATTCTGCTCCTGAAATTCCTCTGCCAATGACCATGATTCTCCTAACTCCTAATCTTCGGCTTCTGTGACTTAGTCTTCATGTTTCCACCTGTTACCATTCTAAAGCAAGTGTCATTCATGCTGCATCATGCCCTAAAACCCCTAAATAGTCACCTACTGTTCATAATGACGAAAAACTAAAACAGAACTGAGGCTTTCTGTAAGCTTACTCAGTTTACCACCTAAATTCTGTCTCCTATAATAATTTACATCACAGCCCTCAATGAATTATGTGTCACTCTAAAAACACTGAGATCTATATCACCCATATAAAATTTTTTTTCCCATTTCATAATCCCTTACACAGAACAATCTATTTTTCTGGTACCAACACAGCATAAATTCAGTATAGTATAAAATACGTTAAGAATGAATTACCACCTGACCCTCAGAGCTCTTAGTAAGACAAATCTTATGCTATTTTCAGTGCCCAGCATTTTTTGGGTATACAGCTTACACTCAAATCAATATTCATGCGTCAAATTTAATTCAATCAATTCTCACATTTTCATTCAATTCAGATATTAGTATTATGTAGGAGTATCAGAAAGATACAAAACAATGTGAAAAACTCTAGTTGAGTTATAAAGGTAGAAGATTGACCTTACCCCTCGAAAAATGCCAGGGAAGGAGAGAAATAACTATCAGACACAGTGATCCTTCACATCACATTTCCTTCCACAGTCCAACAAAATCAGCTTAAATTATACTCTTAACAAAATCACTGCCTTTTTAAAAAGATCACTGTAGGTGTAAGCAAGGGAAAAAAAGGCAAGTTAGTCTGGGTTAATCCAAGGTCTGATGAAGTAGGCCTTGTTGGAAACTTCCAAAACAGCAATTTGCCACACAAGATAAAAGTTTAGCTGGAAACTAAGACTATAAAGTAAATGAACCTGTAATTTCTTTTCAGAACTCTCCATTATAATGTCACTGTGCAGGACAAGGACTTTATAGAATGAGAAATGGTGTGGTATAGAAGGCAGGCCACACCTACACTGCTTGCTAGTCTGTTCAACTCCCAGGACTCAGTTTCCTCACCTATGAAATGACATTTCATTGGAGGAATCGTTTTTAAGTTATTTTTTTCCCCTTTATTTTGGGAGGGCTCCTAGGCTCTCGTTTTGAAATCTGATGAGAGGACTAAAGTTTCTTTTAACACTAATGCTGAAATTAATAAAGCAACTCAGTAATTTTACTGTTTTAAAGTTCAGTGTACTACGAGAGGAATAACAATCACCGAACAGTTACTAATAACTGTGAATATAAAATGGGAAAGAACTGAAAGAAATACTGCTTGGTGCTATTACTTAAAGGGTTTTAAAATAGGAATAGCTTTAAGTTTGTAAACAAGTATGTTGGATCTGATAACAACATTTATTGGATGTGATACAAGGTGTAAACTTAAGGTTGGGAATTAATAAGAACAGGGTGAATTTCTTCCACCCCCATAAATGAGGCAAAGTGATTAGGAATATGACTATTCTGGAGCTGTGCAGAGTAAAAAAAAAATTTTTTTTAAAGACAGGTTCTGTTAGAAACTCCAAGAAGACAACAGGGAATAGTATTAGACCATAAATTCTTGTGTCCTAGATAAAAATTACCTACTTAGAACAGAAACAATTTTTAAAAAGCATATATATGTATGGTAAACTCAATATAAATTGTTTTAGGTTATAAGCTACTAAAAACAAGGTTATACTTACACTTTTTAAACAAAATCTGTCCTATGCTGGCTTTGTGTTCAGTAATTCAACTACCAATCTAAGATGTCTGATGTATTTTTTACTTTATGGATTCTTAGTAAAATGTAACAAAAAAAAGTAATAGTTATTAAAAAACAAAAACTTTCTTACTGCCACTGTTTCTTCACTTTTAGAAGAGGATAAAGCAAACCATACATGAAGCAAGGTGGAACAGTAACAGACTTTTATAAATATTTGCCTTCGGGTACCTCGATTAGATGCAAGGAATAGTACCTATTGATGAAATCTTGTCTGAGAACTAAAAAGAAAATGAAAGTTTATCTTCAAATAACAAATTTCCTTCGTGTTTAGGATCTTTGAGATTTTAAGGTAAAAGACTAGTCTAGAGTATGCGGTTAAGAACTCTGGGTAGGGGAGAGGATAGGAGGTTTTCCATGTGTAAGGCCCTAGGTTCAGTCCTCCTGGTATGCCTCTTATAAACAGAATCTATACTACAGAGATGAGAAGCTGAGTAGGCTGTTAGTTACCACAATGTAGCTAGCTGTGTGAAAAACTCATGGTTACTTAAGGTATACTTGTAAGGAAAACCAAAAACCACCTTGCAATGCAAACCAACAGCTCAGGATATGCCCTCCTTTTATATTTAGAAATTAAATATTAATGAATAGTCAATCTTGTTTGTATTAAGAAGAGAAACTGAAAAATATCAGATGGTGGAACTCAACATCTCAACTGAACAGAGAAGAATGAAGTAGTTATTAAAAGTTGGAACAATGTTCTTCTAATCTAATTGGAACAGAATATCCATGAAATGTCTTTTAAGTCATTAAAAATATACCTGTGCTATTTTCCTCTAAGATAATACATATTTAGAATTAAAACAAATAAGGAAGCCACCTAAGCTTTAAAAGTAATAATTTAATTTAGATAAAATCACCAAACATTAGATTTTACTGGAAAGAACCTTAATGATTCAACTGTCCAACTGTCATTTTATAGACAAGGAAACTGAGTTTTGGAAAAGATAAGTAAATTGTAGGAGATTATATAGTTGTATTAGTAGCAAATTCTCAACTAGAACCCTAGTTTAATAGGTCTTTATCACCAATCATTATTAAGAAAAACAACAACAGCAACAGTTACTCACCTCAATCCAATTTGTAAGCCAATAGCACTCTGGATCAGTGTTTTCCACGGTAAAGAGGACATTTCCTCTGGGAATGACAGAGCCTTCAGGAACAGCCTTTACTTCTATAGGGAGATGCCCATCATATTTCTGGTAGGAAATACAATGAATTCATTCATTCAACACAGGATATGCACATGCTGTTTAAGATTCCTTATATCTTATGGAAGCCATACTTACTGTTACAGAAGTTACCATTGCAGATGTTATATTATTAGCAATAATCTAGTCATAATATACCCAGCTTCCTAAAATTAATTACCATTATTAATAATGTAGGCACTGATACTAATTTTTTTTTTTTTTTTACTGATACTAATTTTTAAATTTAATGCTGTCAACTGTTTCTCCTAAGGACACTTATCAGAAAAGTGACAGATAATTACAAACTAATTAGAAATAGTTTTTTCCTGGCCTTTCAGAAAACCAGGAAGGTTTATATTTTTATTCTACTGTATTCTAAAAGTATTCCAAGAACACTACCTTTATTTAACACAGGTCAAAGACATAAAATGGGGGATTGCTAAAACAGAATAAAAGAAATCAAAAGAAAAGAGGGAAATCCCTGCAGAAGAATCTTAAATGAGTTGTCTGTATTCTTGTAGTAGACTAAAACCATGAGAGGCTAATCACAGAATCCTGGCAACACCTAAATCTGACTTTAGCAACTTCTTGTTAATGTAACAGGTTCCCTCCATAATCAGGCTGAGGGTTATTTTGCTACAGGGTGTGTTACTAGGCATCTTAACTTCAGCTGAAAGCCGTGGTTCACTTACTCGTCTTTTTCAAAGACCCATGTTAGCAAAACTCCATATGTTAATACACATATTATATGATGTAAAGGTCTTGCATTTATGAGCTATGAATTAATGCTTAATGAGATGTCAACAGATTTCATTTGTAATACAGAAACCAGCAAAGGACATTCAGTGTCATAATACAGTTGCTTATGTCTTTGAATGCTCAGAAGTTTAAGCAATAGATTCAAACATAATAGATATGAGTATTATAATAAAGAATAAAGTTCATGGATCTGTACCAAACCATTCTAACCAGAGGGTGAAATTTCCCAGTTATTTTACAGTTATAGACTCAGAGCACCTATTTTCAGGCAAAGAAATAGAACTACATTTTGAAACTGTCAAATAGCCACACTCTTTAAAATTAGAGTGATCTTTCTCTAATAATTACATGTTCTTAGGTAGATTTAAGAAGGGATTAGACTACTTTCCTGAAAAATGTTATTCAAGTTATAATTCATTTACTTAACAAATTACTTAGATGTTCTATACATTCTATCTGGTCACGATTTACACTTAGGGGGAAAAAAGCCAAATGTTAACTCTATACCTTTATACAGCGACGTCTAAAAAAAGCTACTACATTCAGGTCACAAATAAGAGTCCAATTTTTCTATTCAACTGCTTTTGCAAGAAACTGAACTAAACACAACATCGTAACAGATCAAAACATGAAACTGCTTTTTACCTCAAGAATGTAGTTCCATCCCTTTTCATTAAAGACATCATCCTGGAAATGTTCTTTGTACACTTCTTTGGCTTCTTGGATTTTCTCTTTGGTCACAACCTTACCTATAAGGATACACATGACCCATTTACAGTTCTAGAGACATTTTCTGAATTGCTGAACTGTCATGGATTTAATGTCTTTAGCTATTTTACCCATTCTATACATTAAATAACGAGAAATTGAACGACTTGGTTAACAGCAGAGTCAGAAAAGGGATTTATACTTTACACTCACTTTAACCATAAATGTCAACTTATTTTAAAAGCAGGTAACAAAAAAAGTATTACTTGCATTAAAAAATAAATCTCAATAAAGTATAAATTGAGTCATTCTTTGAGATGATTCAAAAACTTCATACATTTTCCAGGTGAAATGTTTTATTCATAAGCAATGTGATATCATTAGGGCTAGTAAGCCTGTAATTTTCACAATTATTAAATTTTTGCCCTCAATACAATTTTATTTAATTTTTATCTATAAAACAAAAATAACAGGAAAGTATCTACTTAAAGGATGGCTACAAAAAATAAATGAGTTTAGGCACAGGACTGTCTACAATAATGCTGCCTGGAGTGGACAATACACACATTTTAGCTATATTAATCATATATATTTTATATATATGCAGAACTGCTATCAAGGGCTGGGAATGCAACTGAGTGGTAGAGCACTTGCCTACGGTATGTGAGGCTCTGGATTTGATTCCCAATAAAAAAATAAATAAAGTATACCATCAGTCTTTGAAAACTATGTAAGGTTAACTAGTAAATTTATTTAAAATTTCTTGGGCAGTCTTGCCACAAAGTAGAACTTCTGATATCTACCCAAGGTTTTCAATAGTACAATGTAACTATCCAATTTTAAAAAACAGATTATGGAACAGTTACTGTTTGCATGAAATTAAACTTGGTTCACACTCATTTCTGAAATTAACTTTACTTCAAAATTTCCAAGATGTGTAAGATCTTTGGGAACTGTTCTCCTCTACAAACATTATTATGAAATGGACTAAAAACAGTCTTTCAAACAAAAAAATATAGAAATTACTGGGTTTTCTGGTAAAACTGACCAGTATAAAACAATTCTAGTTATAATTTCTACTGTAATTCAAAATGAGTTTCCAGGTCAATAACAAATTCTTAACTGAATTAATCACTAAAATATATTAGCAAATCAGATTAGCCTCTGAATACTACTGACTTTTTATTCCAAAACTTAACAGTTTTAGAAAACCTTTCTCATATGTAGAATACCAAGCACACAAACCAAACTCTAAGGTTTAATGCATTCAAATTAACAGATTAAAAAAAATTTCCAACATGTTGAAAACCTGCTACAAGTAGTTAAAGCAGTGGTGGTGAGCCTATAGTACATATGTTGCAGCGGGCTGCTTGTATCACTGAAAGGCTTTAAAAGGTTTGCAATCATTGAGTTAAATTAAGACTACTCAAAAAGTCACTTCAAATAATAGAATATAACAATATAGGAAAACAGTATAAGTTACACAAAAGCAGAGTTTTAAATGTACTAGGAAAAGTAATACCTTTTAAGTACTTATTAAGAATGTACTGCAACCCATAAAATACTGTTTCCTCGTATTTCACCTTCCTTACTTTGGAGTTTTCAGTCTTCTTTTCACGGCATTCAAAGTAGGAATAAACTTTGCTTGTGTTGGGTGGATACTGTTTATAGTGAGTAACCTAGGAAAAGAAAAATACGGTAGATGGAAAACACCAGAACAGTAGGACATAAATTACAACAGAAAAGGCTTGAAGTTATTTCAAAACGAGAGAAACTATACTTTATACTTGTTATTGATGTACTGATGTTTTTGGACACACAGAATTTTAAAAGTACATATTTTATTGAGATTTTACTAGTTAAGAGACTGAACTGAACTTGGAAATAAGGCCTTTAGATTGGTCTTGGTGAACAGCCTTTGACTCGGAAGGGAGAAGCAGCTGCGTGGGGCTCATAACTCATATAAGAGAATAAAATGAAAGTCAGCAGGTTCAGACAGGTTATGTGTTTGCATCCTTTATCCGAAATGCTTGGGACCAGAGGCACTTCGGAGATTTGAGAATATTTATATATACTTATGAGATATCTTGGGGCTAGGATCCATGTATAAACATAAAATTCATTTACTTTTCATAAATCAAATACACTTTAAACAGCCTGAAAGCCTTATTTTATATTTTTAGTGTGTCTCTCTTTTGACTATGAACTGCCTCTTGAAGACAGGAGCGGAATTTTCCCCTCACAATGTCATGCTCATGGCCCAGAAGTTTTGGCTTCTGTAGCATTTTAGATATTTGGATTAGAAGGCTCAACCTAGTGTTACTATGTAAATGTGGTACTATTTAGTAGTAGTCATGATTTCTCATGATGATTTCATTTAAATATAATGAGGTACCCGGATGATCCTTAGTAGCCTTCGTAGTAACACTACAAAAACTTGGATGAAAGCAACAGCAGCAGCAAAAATGAAAAATAAACAAATAAAAACCCCATTTCATAATCTTTCTTATGCTCAAATTACCTCCTAATTGGAAAATAAATTCCTATGTAGTATTACATCAAATCTTTGAGTTAAAAAACATGAAGAGGTTGAGTAAGAGTCACTATTGAAAACTTACCTGTTTTTGTTTAAAGAAATAAAAATAAAGTGTTTATTGTAATTCAAATTTTATTTCAGTATTCTTACCATATTCAACCATTTTACTAATTAAAATAAGAAAGACTAATGTGTATCTGTCCAGTTGAAAGAGTGGGAATAAAAACCTTTAAGGTTTGAAATATGGGGTGAATCATGATATCAGTAGAACCAACTTTTGCAGACCAAGTTTTATGCTGAACCACTACCCACATAAACCACTTTTTCCTGTTTGGCTGCAAAATCTCAATAAAATTTAGCACTACCTTGAAGAATCTTCATAGCTGAGCACAAGAACTCTAAAAGGAATATACTTCTGCTCTCTGCAAAGCCCCGCTTCTGTCTCCAATTCAGTGTCCTCACAGATTGGCTGGTGCTGCACACAGGCCAACATGAGGGTCAGTTTCTACAGGTACAGGTCATCTGAGAGGCCAGGTCCAGCAGAAGACTTGGAGCTCTCTGTCTGCACAGGTACAACAGACATCTATGTAATAAAGGGTATAGTAAGGCCAAAGCAAACTAGACATATGTCAGGCCTTTTTAAGATTAGATACCACGAACTATCACTGTAGAATTAAGATTTTAGAAGTAGCTAAGTGAGCTGGTCATGATGGCACATTCCTGCAATCCTAGTAAACTGAGGATGAAGATGAGGCAGAAGGCCTATGAATTCTACCCCAGCTCAGGCAACTTGGCAAGACTCAGGGGGGAAAAAAAATGGAGGGGCTGGGGATGCAGCCCTGGCTTTAATGCTCCCCCAAAGCTTATGAGACACTTAATATACAGCAATTAAATCTATTATTCAATTTAACAAAATGCAAAAACAAATGCATTTATGAATGATATTCCAGGTTACTCAAATAATATTGTAAATTACTTAAACTGATTAGAAAAGGAAAATCCATGTAAAATTACACCCAGAATTTATGTAAAAATGAAAATGTCTAACTTACACTAATAAATAAACAATTCCTTTCATCAGACTAAGGAGTGAGGTAAAAGAAAAGTCACTGATTATAAAGTAAAATTTGAACCATAGAGCACAAGTTTATAAAACTCAAGTATTACATGGCAAATTATTTTCCTTTTCTGAGAATACCAAGAAGTAAAAAGCTGAATGGAAACATCTGGTATTAATTAGTACCATCAGGGTCTAAAAGTATACTAAAAATTTCCCATCATACAAATATAGTTCTAGTTCTGGATGATCATTATAAATATTTATAATTTTAGAGACTTACTATGTTTTTTATAATACTTTAAAACCCACCTTTGCCTAAATAGAATGTCTCTTTGGAAACAAATATCATTTAAAATACAAAACTGTCTAGGTTGCGTAATTAGAAATGATGTTCTAAAATCTTAGAGAAACTTAAGAGAACTGTTTTAGAGAAATAAGAATTTAAATTGCCTACAACTTACTAACTACTAATATCCACCTAGTTTATAAAAGAATAGAGAGTATTTCTAGGTCTATTTATATGGGCATATACACAAAGGAGAAAAATTTTAAAAAGCTGAGGTAAATACTATTCTAGTACAGTCAATAGACAATTTCATTTTATCTTCTGTTAAATTGGTCACTCTGAACCTTCACCTGTTAAAATGGCAATTCTGAATCTCCATGGGAAAATGGGATGACAGGACATAAATTCTAATTAGTTTTCTTGTAAATAATTTATTCACAAATACATACCTTATACCCACTATGTCTCAGGTATCAGTATGTTTCAGATGCTGAGAGGAAAGTAAAACAGGCTAACATGGTCCCAATTCTCACAGGATAACAAGGGCTTTGAGAAGGGGATAACATGTAAACAAGATAATTTCAGACCAAGGTGGGTACTATGAAAAATTAAGACTGTGATGAGGTAGAAGAGGCCTGAGAAACTACTTTAAGTGGGGACCAAGACAGGAAATGCTTTGGTATAAGGGACAGAAAAGGAAAGACAGTGTAGTTGGTGTTAGAATATAGTAAGGCCAGAAAGAGGCAAGGATAAGATCCTAAGCCTTGCAGAACTTTGGTTCTTTCGGTAATGGGACTGAACCCAGGTTCCAGAACATGCTAGGCAAGTGCTCTGCTACTGAGCTATTATATCTAGCCCTTAAAAAAAAAGTTTTATTTTGGGATGAGAGTGTTGCCATGTTTACCAATCTGGCTTCAAATTTGCGATCCTCCAAGTAGCTGGAACTTCCAAGTAGCTGGAACTTCCAAGTAGCTGGAACTACAGGTGTATGCTACCATGCCTTGTCTAGGACTTTTACTTTATCAAGTGTAATGGAAAACTATTAAGCGTTAAATTGGGATGAATACATCACTTTTTTTTTTCTGATATTGGGAATTGAATACAGGGCCTTGTATGCTAAGTATACGCTCTAACTCTGAGCTAAACCTCTAGCCCTGACTCATATTTTAAAAGGACCAGCCTGGCAGTCAGTAGAGTATGGGTAAGAGCCCTGTCATCCCCCCCCACACATTGGGGATGGAACCAAGGGCCTCACACATGCTAGGCATTCTACTGCTCAGCTAGACTCCTGGCCCCCAAATGGGTTATGGGATAATTGGAGTAGAAGCAAGAATTAAGAGGCTACTTCCCAACACTATGCTGGATGACAGAACTGACCGAGTATTTTTGGAAGGAGAGCTAGGTAAGCTGATGGACTGGACATAATCATGGGGAGGAATTAAGGATACTTCCTAGATTTTCAGCTTGAGCATCTGCATTACTAATGGTGTTATTTATTAAGATGGAAAAGATTATGGAATGAATGGGTGGGGAAATCAAGAGCATCATTTTAAGTATTAAGTAATACAGTAAGTACTAACAAGATTTACAGTACTCAGAGAAGGGAATACAAAAAGGAAGCTCTTAGTTACATTTTTAGTGCTGCTTGACTTCTATCACTACAGAAAATGGTTCTATAATAAATATGATTTTTTACTAGATGCAGACAAAATATCTGATAATACCACTAGCCAACTTTATTACTAAAATGATTTCCTGAACTAGGATGACCCTCCTACAGCAAACAGAGCCCTGCTTACACATTAATATGTGTGTGGTAAAGATCAGAGGCACACGGGAAAATGCAGCTTTTAATAATTTAATCTGTTATGTCATTGATTTACCTCATGAAGAGACCTATAAATGATTACATACTAGATGATAACTGGTCATATTAAAATGCCTACATGAAGAAGTTTTTGGCACTAATTTTATAAAGGGGCAGGGGTAGCTTTATCCACTGTGGAGTGTTAGACAAGCAAGTGCATCAAAAACAGTACTCCCCAGGCTTAGTATCCTTGTTCCAAATATGAGAGCTGGGGAGTATGAAGCATTTTTAAGTTGAATAGAATCTTTATGGGAAAGTAAGGTTCAATTTTCTCTCTAGGTGTTTTAAAAGGCTAATCTGATCTTTCCACAATGAGATCACATGACCCTAGGCAACTACTCCTAACCTACCTTTTCAGTTACGGTCTTATTTTTAACTGCTAAGAAATAACAGCCAACATTTTAAAATAAGATGTGAGAGGAGATGGGTAACATAGCCAAGGTCACAGAGCAAATTACGCTATCTATATTATGGCCGGGCATCCAGAGGATCCACGCTAGCCCTACCGTGGCTAAGACTCTGTGGCTCTTCAAAGGCTTAAACATCTGTCTTGCTGTCCCAGAAAATAACTCATTGCTACTTGGCGCTGAAGCACGAATCACTCAATAAATGTGGCTTCAAGATTTCCTCACTGTATTATTTGAGGAAAGAGAAAAATTCCAGAACCACTTACATATAATCATTATACCACCTCTTCCCTTAAACTTCCTAGTACAAAGTTTCTAACCTCCTTTGCCACACTTTCAAACTCAAGTTAGAGGATACAGCTTCTGGTATTTTTTTGTTTTGTTTTGTTTTGTAAGATACTGTACAATTACTACTGACCTAAATTACCCTACCTATATTTTAGTACAAACCCTCCTCTCCTGCAGCAGTGCCCTCATCTTCATGAGGCCAGCCTACCACAGGAGTCACCACGCCAGTATTTTTGTGTCCACTCAAAACAGTACGCAAGAGAGGCACGCACAACTGTGAGAAAAGGGGACTGGGAAGCCAAAACTGCTAACTTGCCCATATGAGGAGTCTCACCTCTCTCCAAATCTTACCCTCAAAAAATCTCAGCTTTCTAAGATTTGTCAATCAGCTGTTAAAGGAAGCAAAATCTCTTGAACACTTTATAACCATAAATAAGTTACACAGTTCTTTGAAGCTTCTCTAAAATCAACATTTCTCCATCCTGGATTGTAAAATATTGCCTTCTTCGACAGTATCAAAAAAGTCTCCACTATTAACATATGGTTAAAAATGTGCTGAGTTCCAGGATAACCAGTTTATAAAGGACCCTCTGAGAAGCAAGTTATACTGGACAGAAGATTTCCTAAGTAATGTGTAATGTGATTTAAACTGTATCTTGCTTCAGAATGTCTTTCCCAGCTACAGTGTAACTGACAATATCTTCTATTAACCTGTTACAGATAAAATGTTCACAATATTAAAACTATTCTTTGTTGTAATTTGTTAGAAACAATGCGACTATAAAGGGGGGGAAACCCCTGCATCTTTTAATAATTCATAGTTATAGTGAAACTGACCAATGGCTCTCCAGAGGCAGGTGGAAAAAAAAAAAAAAAAAAAAAAAAGACCTGGTCTCCTTTATAAAAAACGTCCCAGATGGGCATGGCAGTGCACGCCTGTAATCCCAGCACTGGGGAGGCTGAGGCAGGAGGATTCCTTTGAGTTGGAAATCAGCCTGGGTTACATAGTGAGTTCCAGGTCAGTCTCAACTACATAGTGAGACCCTGTCTCGAAAAAACCAAAGTCCCAAATATAATTTTAAGCACTGTAATGATGATGACTAATCCAAATCATCTTTCCCCAGTTGGGTTAGTACAAGTGTAAATACAACCTAGGAGATGATTTTATCTTAACCTAGTCTGAAAACATAAATGACTAAGTATAATAATGACTTAAGTATAATAATCTTATACTTAAGGATTTAAGATTAGGTCCTTTTTATTTGTAAAAAGAATCCAGGATGAAAACTGAAGAACCATACTTGCATGGTTTCTTAGTTCCTTATTATGTATAATGAAGTATAAGATTCCAGAAATAATTACATATTTCAAATGTTCCTCTTCTGGCCAGAACTGCTCTGGATTCTCTTGATAGAAAACAAAACAAAACAAAAAAAACCAATTCCCACATGTTGCCATGTGCCTGGCCACCATCCCATCCACTTGCAGAAAACTTTTTTGTGGTGCGTAGGCCATCCATTATTTTCCCTTCAGTTTAAGAAGAAATCAACATATTTTGCTTTCTTCATTAAAACACCTAGCTACTAATTCCCTACTTTAACTGGCCAAGAGTTTGTAAGAACTGATAATGGACATGTAACATTCTTTGTGTAATTTTCAAATAAAAGTTTCATTATTTGTAACATTATGATTATCATTTTTCTCTCTTCACCTAAGAAAGCAAAAACAGAAAATAGGCTAAAAGGTCCACTAACAATACAAGGAAAATTAAAGACTATATGTGACTGTGGTATATAGGGTCTATTTTAGGGCACTGCTATAATCCACTGGTAGAAAATATATTAACTGATGGACTTCTGGAGATTTTTAGGGGAACAAAATAAAAACTATTATTAAAACAAAAATCTTTGGAAAAAATTTCATATATGATAAGGGATAGTCAGCCTGACTTCAAAATGGACAGGAATAAAATGTAAAAAACTGCTGGCCGTGGTGGTACATGTCTGCAGTCACAGCTACCTGGGATTGCAAGCTTCAGGTCAACCTGGGCAAAAGACTGTTTCAAACATAGGCGATACAAAGGCCTGGGGGATGCAGCTGTGTCAGAGCATTTGACTAGCATGGGTGAGGCCCTTGGTCCAACCCCGAGCACCGTTAATAAATAAATGGCACAAATTATAATAGTGCAGATAAGTATAATTTGCTGTATTAGAAAACTTTAAAGAATAGCGATTCAGGGTCAGGGATTTAACTCAGTGAGTGGTTCCAGTGCCTACCTTGCAAGCACAAATTCTGGAGTTTGATCCCCAGTACCAAAAAAGAAAAAAAAAATAGTGATTCTAACTGAAAGCATTCTAAAAACTGATGAAGCAATTTTGTATTCTTTACATATAATGGCTAAAAAACTGCACTCTTTTCAAAAAAAATTAGACCTCATCTTTTTATATTTTGCATTTACAATTAAATTATTTCATGGGCAAATAGGTTAAAAAATTCTGAAAACACTCAGCATGGTGCTGCATGCCTGTAATTCCAACACTTTGGGAGGGCGGTCACTGGCAGAAGTTCACTACCAAGAGTTTGAGACCAGCCTGGCTACAGAATGAGTTCAAGGCAGGCCTAAACTGCGGAGTGAGACCCTGTGTCAAAGAACAAAAACAAGAATAAACAAACAAAAAAAAAACAAAACTGAAAACTAAGCATTTAAAGAAAAGAAATTCTACAAAACTTTGGGACTATTCTAAAAATCACTAATAAAGACAGTGAAAACACTATATAGTAACTGAAGGGGGAATGTAAGCAGAGGTTTTGGAGTCGAGTGAACCATACTTATAATCTAACAGTGTAGAGTTTCCCTTTAAAATTCCATGTAAAAGACCACTTGTTGATGGCTCAGCTCTACTTAAGAGAAACTCATAAAAGCATCACAAAGAAATGGACTAAATAGAATTTAAGCCAGGCTTGGTGGCGCACAACTGTGATCCCAGCACTGGGGAGGCTGAGGCAGGAGGTTCACTGTTTTGTTTCAGGCCAGGGAGACTGCCTCAACCCCTACCCCCCAACTTTTTTTTTTTTTTTTAAAGTAAAATGGGATTTGGCACATGGTGGCACATCTTGTAATCCCAACACTCTGGGAAGCTGAGGCGGTAAGATTCCAATTTAATCCTAGCCTGGGCAATTTAGGGATTTAAAGAGACTGTGTTTCAAAATAGAAAAGGGCTGAGAATAGATGTAGTTCAGGGCAAAGGCCCTAGGTTCAATTTCTAGTGGGGGTAGGGAGATTCTCTAAAATGCTTTCTCAGACTATTGGTGGGCTGAAAACAAAGAAACAAAAACTACAGACCAGAAACAAGAAACCAAACACACCGGAGTACTATGCTTCATCACCATATTCCAAAGCAGCACGTTGGTCACACAGACACTAATATTTAAAACTAAAACTTATTTCTTGCAAGTAGGGTTCTGGTCTGACACTCCACCTCTAAAACATATTAGCTAACAAAACTTCACAAAACTACAGTCCAGTGTATCTCATGTATTCTGGAAACTAGAGGGAAGAAAACTGGCGAGCTTGCCCCCTACTCTTCCTTTCTCCAAGGTGTGTATGAATTTCACATAAATGGGGCAGCTCCACATGCAGGCGTCCAATGGGCGGACGAGGGCCAGGGTTGTGTCATTTCCCTCCCTGCAAGTTCTCCAGGGCTAAGAACTCAAGTTCCTCTACCTCCTCGTGTTTCGCTTTCCTTTTCTCCGAAATCCTGCAGCGAACCAACGGGAGTTGGGCGCACTCTGGCCTCTGCGCCCAGGGATCCGGAGCAGGAGGGATCCCCAGGTGGCAAGGAGTTTGAAACGCAGCCCGGGGGCTCCGGGGACACACCTGTGTCCTCCACGCCGGGATCCCTCCCACCTCCTCGCGGGCGGCGTGGTACCTGGCAACTCGGGGCGTGCAGGCGGCTCCGCCCTCCGCCGCGG